ACTTGACAGGTGAGGGGATGCTCCAAGCTGCTCCTCCAATTGGGTGGGAGAGGGAACGATCACGGGTCGGCACAGGATTCTACGCGCGTTTTCCTCTCGCGACGGCGTAAAAAAAAAACAGTTCGTAGAGGAAGACAATTCACGCACACGAGTTTTGTTGTTGGCTGCTACTTTGCTTTGCTGCTGGTGCTGGGCTGCGACTAAGCGGAATGCCTGCCTGTTTGGCGATGCTTGCTGCTAAAAAGTAAAAGATACAAAACACACACACATACACGCGAGCGTGAGCACATGAATGTTTGCAGTAGCGCGAAAGAGCAGCAAACAGAGAGAAGAGTGTTCAGAGACCTCTCACATGGTATATTGAGAGTAAGGAATGGCAGTCGTACTCCGTAGAGTATATGTTATTTTTATTTTCTTATATTTCGCGACGTTTATCGCGGGAATTGTTCGGAAAGTTATGTTGCTAACGCCTGATAATGCGCCCTGCACAGCGATAAGGAATACAGCAACAGTTTTTTCAGACCCTTTCACACTAAGTTTTCAGATGGAGCTACTACATATGAAACTAAATGCACGGAAAATCATATTGATAGAGGAGCTCCTTAAAAATCCTCACCTTGTATAAATATACCTTCGTGAGAGACAGAGCACGCGTTTCGCTCTCCCTCTGATTTCACATGAAGTTAAACAGCGTTGCCACCATGTTCATGGAATTAAGCTGGCGCTTAGTTAAATTTTCTTTAATTCGGATTTGCGCCTGTAAAAACTAAACTTTTTGATATCTTCAGAGCATTTCTGACATACAATTTTACTTCTCCGCCTCGCTGGACGTTACGACTTCCGGAAATTTCTTGGCACCAAAAGTGTAAGTAAAAGGTTCATACATTATATGTGCCGTCTATCATGTACATACGAGTATTTTATGCCGTCTATTTTAAGAAAAGAAAAAACATTTCCAAAATATTTCTGCATGGGGATCGCCACGAAAACGGCGCGCAAAAAGTTCTGGGGCTCGGACAAACAAAAACAAACGGCAGCCGGGAATTTTTTTCTTGGCAGCTGCAGTGTTGTTAGCGGCTACATCACAAAGACTGCCGGTAAAGCGAAAACCAGAAATCATTTGCGTCGTCTTGATCTAACAGTACGAAACAAAGCAACAAAATCGCGCATTTCATGTTATAAAGTATAAAAAAAAATAATAAGGAAAGGAGGTATGTACATATGTATGTATGTAGATACGCCAGCCGAAGTTTTAATACCCTTGCAATGACGTCTATGTTTATGGTTCTCTGTCTGTATTATTTAGTGGTTTCACTTTTATGTGTATATTGCGATTGGGGGAGACAAGTCTGTACAGGATTGAACTGAAGCATAAATGCTTTAAATAATCATACCTTCCTGCAGGGGTATATTAAGTGAACGAGAGCTGTATACTTCAAATCTGGCAACGTCGTTTAGCGAACAAACATGACATCACTTTTTTGCGCACTCTAAGTAACTGTAGAAAGACGAAGGGAGTAAGAGGCAGTTAAAGAGAGCACAGCTGTCTCTCTTGCTGCTAGCGCAAGTAAGCTCTCTTTCTCTCTACATCTCTCTCACGATGTTATACACAGCAGCAACAAACCGATAATAATAACAAAAAATAACACAAAATAAAAAAAAAACAGAAAAGAAAAACATAAACACGTAACCGCATAAAGGTATGTTGCGGGTGAAAATAGATAAAAACGGAGAAGAGGACATCCATATGCACATATGTACATATGTATGGTTAAGGGGGAATACTGCCAGTTGATTAACAGGGCTGCCACTAGCTGTGAGAGAGGGCTGCACCGCGGCTACTGGCGCATATTGGGGTCGGCAGGCACTGACTGATGCTTTAAGTTTGTGTCCCGCGTGAGCGGACCCCTCCCTCACATTCTGTTGTTCAAAAAACTATTTGAAACGCTTAAATACACACATGCACTCCAAAAGATATTCTCCACACGTAAACAGGTTATAGGGCGCGGGCACAATGGCACAAAATAATGCTTCCAATTTAAATATGACAGCGCACATGACCCAAGCCATATATTTATAGCACTTACTACTGCCGCTTAATACCCTCACTCCCCTTTATTTGTGATTTTTTTTAAATTTGGGCATTAAATTGATTTGAGATTATTTTTGAGTGTTATAAAGCGTGATAAGTAGTCCTATATACGACTACAAAATCACTGATAAAGAGTCGAAGATCGATGGCAAACAAAACACTATGCGAAAATAAAATGACATGGGGTAGTGGCATAGAAACTTCCATGAAGGTACACTCAACAATTGTAAATCCAAAGAGATGAAGTCTGTAGCCATTAGCATTTGTAGTTTTGAGGCCCTGGATTATGTTCCGTATATTTATTCAATCCCACTGTAACTATAATGACAGCTGCAAAAACAATGCAAGAAGCAGGAGCAGAACACCGGGCAGACACGCAGCAATGCACTGCTGATCAGAGGCACAATTACTATCAGCATTACAAAAGAGTGAAAATGGGCGATGTGGTGGCTGTTGTCGCTACTTCTGCTTCGGCTGTGGGTAGCACCGACGATGGGAGGAGCACATTCATATACATATGTATGTACATACTTTTAGATGATGATGATGATGGGCTCTATGCATGTCAAGAGTACCCAGCTCGGTCGTCCGTGTGTACCGGAAAATCAATTAACGGACAGTTCGAGATGTACTTTCACAATGGTTATACGTACATATGTACATGCAAGGCCCCTGCGACAGAGATGTGGTATGTGTCCCATGTACATATGTATGTATGTATAAGAACATGTCCAACGGGGTGTTCGAATTTCTATCGCTCACTTGAAAGACATACCAACAACAGAATCATGTTAAGAAAGGCGTGGCTATGAAGGGCGTACGGGGAATGGTACGAGTCCGAGGCCAGTTGTTGATGCAGCCTCCGTCTATCGGCATCACCTCACCTCACAATTACACAACTAATCCATTCTACAGTTACTACCAGGGATGTATGTACATAATAATGTACATTACGGTATGGCATTGGTACTATGTATGTTGGATTCAGTCAAAGTACTACCGAGATATTTCAAGTAGAATCATTGGTTTGGCAGTAGTCGGATTCCAAAATACATATGTATGTACATATGTATTTTCTTTCTAAGTGCTATCCACAATTTCCAAGATATGAAGGTTTTTTCAACAGCTTCTACTTGTGCATTTATGTATTTATGTATGTATGTATATCAGGGCTCGGCACGTACACATTTATGTGCCGTTTTTGTAATTGTGTGCTAAGGTGCTGTCTTCGCAAAACGAAACATTTCAATACATTGGTATTGGTGCGAATAACTGTAATACGCGTGTACGTGAGCGGCAGTCTTTTCCTATGCACAATAGAAGCCCTGATGTATAAATGTGCATGAATGCACATGTGTATAATCATCTCGATCGGAACATTATTATATTCTAAACGAGAAGGGACGTGTGAGACGCTTCTTACGCGGCACAACTTTTATACCCGGCACTCAGTACTACATCTGCACCTTAGCGGTGTTTTGTCAAATTTTACATTTTTTTGTTCATCTGTCATTCAATGATCCAATCGGATCCCAATTTGGTGATCTAATAGATATGGTCATTCCCTACAGAATGGTGTTTTTAGATTTATTTTAAAATTGTAGATTTGGGACGTTTTCGCCCTTTTGCGGGGGCGGGGCTAATATTTGAAATACACTGGTTTCAGTGTGAGCATCCAGTAGTCTGGAGCCAAAATTTGGTGGCTCTAGCTCTTATGGTCTCTGAGAACTATACGACTAACAAGACGCACAGACGGACAGACAGACATGGCTGAATCAACTCGGCTATGGGGTCGGAATCGTTTCCTTCTGTGCGTTACTTATGCGTTACCGTTATTCGCACAAATACAATATACCCTATTTACTCTTCGAGTACCGGGTATAAAAACGAGTAGTCACTCCAAAGAACGTTCCAACTTCATTAGGGTATTGGGGAATGTATGATATCGAATAGTAGTTCTTTCTTTCTCCTTATCTGGTCTTTGTGGCTGACTAACTGTAAGAATGAAAGTTTTACAACAGGTGACTGCCCTCTAAGCTTCAAAGCTGGATGACATCACGCTCGACGCGACCAGCGAATTAAAGCTCTCAACAAAGCCGAAGTACAGAACTACATAGGTATGTATGTGTGGTGTGCTGAATAAGCTTGTCTGTTGTCCGTCAACAAAAAGTTATAGTATTGTAGTTGACTGTAGCCAAAAAATGGTTTGAGTGGATTCTAATTTTAAAAATAACAATATCTTGTCCAAAAAACATACGTTGTGTAAAATATAACTTATGGTTGCAAAGTAGAGAGAGAGAGACAGAGAGATAGAGAAAGAAAGGGAGAGAGAGAACGTCCAAAATGGGAACCAGAAGTCACTCTATGTGCAATCGATAGAGCGTTAGCTATCGCTTTTAATTGAGAATGGCAATCGATAGACCCCCTCAAATGGCGTGGTGAAGTGTTGTCTACTTCATAAAGGAACGAGAACCTGCGCAGGGTGTGGGAGCCGCTGCCGCGCCCATAGAAGCGAAGGCAGATACACAAATGCAGCCGAAAAAGATGTGGGTCAACAACCAACCACCAATTGAAGTTTGACCCACATTACATTGCTTTAAAATGCACGTACACACACACACACACGTAAAATAAGAATTAAATGGAGAGAGAGGAAGAGTGAAAGTTAAAGGCGACAGAACGTCATTATGTAATAAAGCAGCACAGCTTGACGGTATTCCAATAGCTAGTCCCCAATTCGACAACTTATTAAAACGCCCGTCGAAGTCGGCTGCACATATGTATGTACATACAAAACCGGTAACATAAGGACGATGGAACACAAACAAACAAATGTAAGCTTCTTTCAATTGAAATGATGAGAACACATATAGAGCGGGAGAGAGAGTGGGAGTGGTAACCACAGCGCCTGTCATGTGTGCATGTATAAACTCTGTAAACGGAACTTGCAGTCCAGCGTAATTATCGATTTACAAACTATTTTGTGTGTGTTTAAGCCAGGAAGCGCCTAGAGAAAGGGACACGGAGTTCATTCCATGATTTCTGGGTGAAATGGATGCTCTTTTGCATAGAAAAACTGAGACCATGGGAAAGGGGGGAGCGAAATTCATTAGACGGAATGTCTACTGTTGATACTCCTACTCAGATAAGGTAAAAACGGTTGTACGTACATATATTCGTATGTTATTAATTGGCAAACATTTACAGAGCTGGAGTTTTAGTCAAACTACACTACCCGAGACGATTATACCTAATAAATGCAGCAAAAGAGTGGACCGAAACACTTTGTGGGCTTAGCTTACCGTCTGTGAAATATTAAGTTTTGAAAAATCAAAAATGTTGATTTTTGTGCGGTATTTTTACGAAATTTTGTCTTTAAAAACTCAGGAAAAGTCGAAAAGGAATGATGTTCAGGTGCATTAATTGGGCGTCGTGCAAGGTATTGCTCATCAAAATCTATTTAGATTGGCTGAGCTAAAATTGGTTGACCAACCCTCCAAACCCTTAATGTTCCGTTAAGTCCCGACATATTTGAGGATTTATTTTAATTTCTAGTATTTTTTTTTTTCATTATTTTTTAGTACTGAAGCAAAAAATACTCTGGGAGTTGGGGGAGCAACCCTCCAAAACGTTATTTTTTAACAGAAATTATCGCTCAAAAAATAAAACTCAAAATGTGATCAATATTTTTGAGTTTTACTTTTTTTACTGAAACATAATTATTATTTATACTTATTAATAATAATTAATATAAATAATTATTAGCAATAATGATTATGCTGAAAAGTGAAACAAAATTATAACTGTATGATTTTTAAAATATAGCTTATACGGTCGCTGAAAATTATATATATTCCATGATCATACATATTTACATATGTACAAACCATATATCTTTAAAATTGTGCCTACCTAAAGCGTTACATCTGGACTTATAGTTAATACAAGTGGAGATCAATGCGTTCCTATGAAGATAATCCCTGTTTATCCTGAAGAAGGGATGAATCTACAGTAAAAACGATATATACAGCTACGCTGACAGCTCTTCTTCTTATAAATCCTAAAATGCCTTTGCAGATCCCTCTTCAACTCTTCACAACTCCAAAGATACTTACTCTTCTTGAACCTCAATACCGCTGTCGTCCATATTCAGTTTTGCATAGTCACCGTGTCCGACTGGCGGAAGGTACTGCGACTGCGGATGCAACTGCGACGGCAGCTGCGGCTGACCCGCGGCCACGGCAACGCCATCTGTCGCAGAGGTCGCCGCTTCAAAGCCAAATGTCGCCTCCACTTGCTCCGACAGCGGAGTGGGCGTCTCAAAAACCAATGTCTCCACCATGGATCCCTTGGAGGAGCCAAAGGAAACTCTGTAGTGATAGAGAGAGATTGCAGTAGAGGAGCAGAGAGAGGTGTTAACATTGCCAGTGACTGGAGAAAGTAACCTACCGTTTGAGGCCGACGCTTTTGGATCCCAATTTGCTAAGTTTTCCGGGTTTCTTTGGGTTGCCGGTGGCGGTAGCGAAGGCGCAGGTTGCAGGCGGGCGTGGAAATCTATCGCTGAGATCGCTGGACAGATCATCGCCAGCGCCGGCTTCGACGCCACCGTCTGCGTCACAGTCTGCAGATATCGTATTGTTCTCGTTGTTGTTGTTGCTGCTGACATTGGCGCTAGCGCTGCAGCTATTACCGCTGCTCGCACTGGCCTCGATTCTTGCATTGTTGTTGTTAATGTTCTGCCGCTGATGGTGTTGCTGCTGGGACGGATGTGTCGACGTCGTGGTTGTTGTATGAACAAGTGGCAGCGTTGTGGGCGGAGAAGGAGCAGGAGCACAGACATCATTCTTTGGTGTCTCGCTCAGCAGCATCGTTCGCTCGTCGCAGGCATCCATTGAGCCAGAGGCGGCAGAGAGAGCGGCACTGTTTGACGTCGACGCGAGCATTTCGGTTGGGGATGACGTAGAGGCGCCTTCAACGAGATTTGGTTTCCGTTGGGGATTCAGCGTAGGAGCAGAATAGTCATTTCGTGCTGTTGTCAGTGCCGTGGACGCGGATGTTAAACGTTGTCTGGGATTGGCATTCGGTGGAGGTGGCGGCGGCGGCTGTCTGGGTCTGGCGAGGGCCAGCATATGTGCGTGAGGAGTTGAATGCACCCGTTCCCTCACGCACGCACGCCCTGCAGTTTCTCTCAGGTTCCCGCCGATCTTAAGCGATGCGCCACCACTCTCTGGATTTTCCGCTCTCATACGGCGTCACTGATTTGTGCGTATCGTCTCTCACGCTCCTCCGTCCAAACGCATTCACGAGCTCTTCTGGCCTTCTCGCCGCACTTTTCGTGTACAGTGCGGTCGTTGCAGTAGTCCAATCTCCGTGTGAACCTCTTTCACGCACGCAAATACACGGCAGACTATAACGGCAGACAGAGGTAGGGGAGTAAATTTTCTGGATTGGTACAATGTTGGCAGAGCCCTTGAGTTTTTGAGTGCTTTAAGTCTTGCCGCTTGATTGAATCTAAACCTGACACAACGGCCACAGACAGAAGAGCGACTGGCGGCTAATGGTAGACGACTGATGACGACAATTCCTGCATACGAATTGTCTTGCCTTTTTGTTTCACCTTTTCTTCTTTCACATAAAACACAGATATGCACACACACAGCACACGAGCACAATTTCAGCAACAAAAAAATAAAAATATTAACACATTAACACCACCGACAAGGGGTGCGATGGGGGAAACAAAAACAGCGGCAACAGCGACCGCAGCAGCAGAAGCAACTGCGGCAGAGGTAAAGGAGGACGAGGACGCGATTGCACTGCTATATGTCTGACGTTGCATTAACACGTTTCTTGGCTTAAACAAGTTTATTAATAAATTTTCATTTTATAAATTCGTTTTGCTGCTCGCTTGTCTCTTGCCATTACAATAATTTCGTGTGTATTTTATGTATTTTCGTGCGCTTCGAATTTCTGCTGCTCTGCTGCGAAACCAGTGTGACCGCCGATTTATCGATAAAATACACCGCATGACCCTAAAAAACATCTCGAAATATACCTTCTCATTTAAGTGTTGTGAAAAAATACCATTAGAGATGCGATATCACCGAGCTGCCATGTGGAAAAATAAATTAATTTTAATTTGTTGAAATTAAATAAAGGCCAAACACCTTAATGGATAATGGAATACAAGTGATAAACTCAGCAAAAAACGAACTAGTAGGTGGAAAAAGTGAATGGATTAATGGATTTGATAGCTATACGTTGAAAGCGAAGCAAATTTGCAAAAATAACAGCGGACGAGTGGACTAGGCGAAGCTAATTGCTCTCATCTCTATTTGAAATTCCAAAAATGAAATTGCGTTCATTCTAAATGGTAAAAGGTTGATTCTATGAAAAACAAAGAAAAATCGAACACCAAAAGGAAACTACAAACCTTTAGGGGAACCCTTTTTTAATATGGGAACGAATATCAGCAGGAAAAGAAATCAAAATAAGGCATGCACCACGAAACACACGCATAGTTACACCCCCGCGCGAGCAAAACATGTGAATTACAAAATGCAGAAAATTAAACTGCTGCAGGTGCTATCTAAGAAACTAAATAATTAATAACATATTGGCTTAATAAAGGTTAGTGTTTCAAGCGTTTGAGCGCGTGTGTAATTGTGTGCGTTTCGTTGTGATGCAAAACAAAAACACACCCAAACCCCTCTGGGTAGGTTACAACTTACTTAATTCAAAATAATGAATTATTTACATACGTATACAGATATGTACATACTTTGCATATATTATTTATTTGCCGCCGTGGGTGCCCCGCCTGACTGCGTGTGAGTGAGTGAGATGGATGAGTCACTTAACGGCAAAGAAACAGCCAACACTGGGATAAGGATAGAGGGCTGTAGGCGATTATCGTTTCGCTGTAATATTTATACGAACGATATGATTTGTGGTACACAGGTTGATAAGTGTGTTTACCCTTATTTCGATGTTGAGGTTCGTGTGTTTGAAATTGTTTCTGCCCCAGCCCATATTTTAATGTGAGCCCCATATCTTTGTAATTATGAATGTCATGGATTTCTCTGGGCGTCTAACTCGTAACTATGTACATGCATATGTACAATGTGCCCTTACACTATTCAAGTATCGAGTATAGATATACCAGTAGCATATTGCCGGCTCGACTTTGGCACCTTGAACTCGAAACTGTTGTGGTTTATACCGGTTAGCCCGGTTACCCAAAGAACCAGAACTTTGAGTATTGACCAACAGATGTTCGATGTGAATTAAATTATATTTAGCAACAAGGAGGAGGCAGGAATCATTTCCAGCCGTGTTATGTATATTTTGTCTAAAAATGAAATCAGAGTCAAACGGGGCTGGATCCGAACCAAAGGGTTTTTCAACCTTTAATCTCCGTCGCTGTTTTATGTTTCAGACACATGGGAACCATGACAAAAGATTACGACTATTTGCTGAAAGTTCTTCTGGTGGGCGACAGCGATGTGGGGAAGCACGAGATACTTTCGAACCTGGAGGATCCTTTCCCCGAAAGTCCCTTCTGCAGCGGTAATGGTGAGTGGGCCAGAGTATTAAACCGGAAAAATCATTTAAACATCCTATTTTCTAATCCAATAGATTGCACCTCTCACATCCTCCAAACGGTAGCATACAAAACAACCACAATACTATTGGAGGGTAAGCGGGTGAAGCTCCAGCTGTGGGACACGTCTGGCCAGGGACGATTCTGTACAATCATCCGCTCTTATTCACGCGGTGCTCAAGGTATTATACTAGTATACGATATAACCAACAAATGGAGCTTTGATGGGATCGATCGATGGCTTAAAGAGGTCGACGAGGTTTGTATTCATTACATCCCATTTCACAATACACGAAACTAATCATAATCCTTCTCTTCGGAACCTCCAGCACGCACCGGGCATACCCAAGGTGTTGGTGGGCAATCGCCTGCATCTGGCTTTCAAGCGGCAGGTGGCCGCCAAACAGGCCGAAACCTATGCTAGCCGCAACAACATGTCCTGCTTCGAGATATCGCCGCTTTGCGATTTTAATATACGTGAATCCTTCTGTGAGCTGGCGCGGATGGCGCTGCATCGCAACGGCATGGAGCACATTTGGCGCAGCAATAAAGGTAAGCTTGAAACTCATCCATTCTTCTGCACGCAGTGCGTCTATGTAAACCAAACGAAAAGGGACGTGTGAGACACTTTTGACGCGTCACAACTTTTATACCCGGCACTCAGTACTACATCTGCACCTTAGCGGTTTTTTGTCAAATTTTAAAATTTTCTTCATCTGTCATCTACATCTACAACACTTCTCGCACCAACACGCTCCGTTAGCTCGCCGCCCTTCCCTAGACCAACACACTGTAGACTCGAGGAGGAGGCAGAGGCACCGTCCGCATACAAAAAAAAAAACAAATAAAAGCTGCGGGACGGGGTGGGTTAAAAGTCGGAAAAGGCATCGGCAGGGGGAGGGCAGAGGCAGGGGCCGAGTGAAGCAGAAGCAGAAGCAGAGTGTGAATGAGAGAATGTAAAAAGAACAACAAAAGCTGCGGGACAGGATGGGTGGAAATTAATTGCTTCATTGTGGCTATAATAATGAATTCACCAATTTGGTGATCTGATAGATATGGCCATTCCCTACGGAATGGCGTTTTTAGTTTTCTTTTATCTTCAAAACTGTAGATTTGGGAGGTTCTCGCCCTTTTGCGGGGGCGGAAGAGGGCGTGGCTCATTTTTGAAATACACTGGTTTCAGTGTGAGCATACAGCAGTCCGGAGCCAAAATTTGATGGGTCTAGCTCTTATAGTCTCTGAGAACTAGCCGACAAACAAGACGGACAGACGGACAGACAGACATGGCTCTATCGACTCGGCTATTGATGCTGATCAAGAATATATATACTTTATGTGGTCGGAAACGTTTCCTTCTGTGCGTTACATGCATCCACGCTTATTTACTCTTCGAGTACCGTGTATAATTAAGACTAACTAAAAATTCCTGAAAATATACATTTTAAAGAGCAATTGCTGAAGTAAGGCCAACTGTGCTTATTATTTTTCACAGGACTGTTAGTTTTGAATAGTTTTGAATTCTGCTACAAAAAGCTAATGGATTACCTACCCTCGAATTTGCTAGCTATTATAACACATTTAGTGGCAGGTTTTAAATTTAAAATTCTCGGACACCTGAATTACGTTTGCAATTGTCTGTTAATTGAAAAAACGCACTGACAGAGATGTACATGTGTCGACATGTTATTTCATATATGTACAATGTATCTAATGAATAATAATAATAATAAATAAAAATAATATCTAATAATATTTTACTCCTTACAGTTCTCACGCTGCAAGAGCTGTGTTGCCGGACGATAGTGCGAAGGACGAGCGTGTACGCGATCGATTCGCTGCCCCTGCCGCCCTCCGTGAAGTCCACGCTCAAGTCATACGCTTTGACCACGTCGCAGTGCTATAATTCGCTGACGCAGAGCTCGAAAAGCAAGAACCGCTGCAAGACGCCGACGAGTAGCAGTCGAAACAGCTGTGCGATCGCGTGATCGCTACCTTGTAGGTCGCTGCTGCAGGCCAACGGCCCACGCGAGCTGCCTACAACATCTGCCTACAACAGCCCCCCTTCTCCAACCGACATTAACTATAATTCAACTATAATACTGTACTCTAGGCTACCACACACCACACATACACCCCACGCACATGGAATCCTCTCCGTAACTCGATTAACATTATTTTGTTTGTTTCCATCGAGGTAACTCGATTAACATTATTTTGTTTGTTTCCATCGAGATTGATATACCATTATATGTATTTATTGTCACCCGAAAACAAAGTTTTTTTTTTACACAGTAAAATTTAAATTTTAGTTATTTTTAATGCTTTTACATCTCAGATCCCATACCCCCTGTACCCTCCAATCCCTTGCATTATTCTACTGTTGTTAATATTATTATGTTTGTATAATTCTTATATTTAAAATGCTGACAACTCGAACAACCACCACAATACCCACATCAGCCAAACCCACACGCCGAACTTAACCGAACTGAAAGTAAAAGTGATCAGACCATTTCTCGGTGTATACATTATTGAATCAAACTACATTTTTATAATATTTTTTTTTGTTCGGTTACTTACGCTTTAAACATATTTTTAGAGATTAATGTATTCGGGGCAGAATCCCGCGGGAGGACGCACACTCACACGAAAGGCGAATTGATAAAGATAATTAATAATGACCCACGAAACAAATACATTCTCTTGTGTCGTTTTATTTCCGTTGTTTCCCCTATGCACGTCATGTACGCTTTGTCTCCTTCTAGTTGCTGTCTGCCGTCCCTTTCCTTTTGGAGCGCGAGCGAATAAGAGAAAGTGGAGTGCATATTTTAAAAAACATTTCAGATTAGAAAGTGATCAACTATGTATTCTGGCATATAATTCCAGTAAAATTACTTGGAGTTCCTGTACTGATATATTTAAAAATTAATGGGGATGAAAATATATTTTTTATTTGTAAACTCAGTTAAACTCTGTTTTGAAATTCCCTTATAGATTGGGTATCATGTAGCATTCATTCTGTTAGAAATCGTATCAATTATACTGGAATTCCAAAAGAGATCCTGTAATTTCTAAAGCGTTTATGCTGATAGAGCTTATATATACATTTATCATTATAATATGATAATTTCACAAATATATTAAACAATTACTTAACTACTATACTGTACTGCACTATACTTATGTACATTTTGGCATTGATGTTATCTTTTTTGGGTTAAATATTCGAATGAGACTGTAATTTTCGGATTCCTGAATAACAAGATAAAATAACAATTGTTTTAGAAATGTAGTTTTGGAAACATTGAACAACTTGTACCTTGAATTTTAGCTCGACACGAAATATTATGCATGTATATAAAAGTGTAAATATGGAATTATCAGCTCATGGTATGTTAATTAATTGTTAATAGTTATATGTTGTTATTAAAATATCCAATGTTTTTTTCGTGTGTATTTTTAGCTTCATACTCAACAAAGTACACATGAGTGTACATGTGTTCTGTGGAATATAACTTTTGTACAGCACACCATATCATCAAGGTTCAAGTTACATGTTATTAACCAAATAATATAAAAACAAGTTTTGCCCATTTTCAGAAACTATTACATTTTGCAGATACTTATGAGTTCACTTGAGCAGCTCCCCTGAAGGTCTGGAGAAAAACCAATCAATCAGACACAATAAAATGTTATACTTTAGAAAGTATTCTCGAAAACTGTCTAACTGAAGACGAAACTGTTACAATTTCAAAGCAAATTATCAATTCAATGTTTAGGGAAACAAGTACTTAGTGTAAGGCATTCGAATGTTGGAGGGACTTAACTCAAATTACATTCAATCAATCAATCATTTAATCATTCAATAAAATAGATTATGTTTATCTAATCATTACTAATCATTAAAATACATTTTTTATGGAGAACCGATAAAAACAGATTAGGCATATCACGGAATTATACCTTGCAATCGATGTCTAAGATCTCTCGCAATAACCACTTTTGTGTTTGAAGACAATTTTATGAAACTGTACAAAATGCTAGCCAATATGTTGCCATATAAATCACATGAAAATTAAAAATAATCGGATAATATTTAGGTACTCCATATTTCATTATGAGGTATTAAAAGTTTCGAACTTCTTTCATTTTAAACAACTGCTTCTGGGTTATCGGCGTTGTTAAAATATTTAAAAGATTCGGTTTGCTTTGGTTCGATTAGGATCGATTAAGATTTGGGTTTGCACTTTCGGCCAAACCATTTTGCGACTTCATCTCAATCTACTACCATCTCTCTCTTCTGTTTTTGGTTGTGTATCCATTGCTGTTTTAAACAACTCCACCAGTGGCCTATCACATGAGTATTCGGAGCACCATTTAGGAAAAAAAGCTATCCAAAATACTTTAAAGCGCAACTTGAAAAAAAATTATGGTGAATCTTGTTGCATAGATATTTACTTTAATGATTAGCTTTTTATAATATTTAATTTCTTTAATTTTTGGCATTTTGAAATCACAAAAAGTGGCAAAAGAAGGTCAGAGATACCAAGGCATATGGGCTTGAATACTTTGAGGATCGCAGAATTGTTGGAGTCAAAGCTGAACTGAAGCTGAAAAAAATAACAATAATTTAACGCTTTTTAAAAGGTATATAGCTAAAAAATGTACATAAAAGCTATACGAATCTTGAAACTATTGTTACTAAGAGTATAATTAAAGTCAGAGCTTAAAAGATCTAAAAAGTTCAAATAATCAGAAATAATTCAGAAATCATCATTACTCCTACAACTCTCTGCCCTCCATGAGACGCTCTCATAATTGGGATTGGGAGAGGCTTGCCTGCGAACAAACCTCACCTGACGCGCACTGACCTTTCCCTTTCGTTCACGGTCTGAAACTGCAATTCTGGCGGGTGGGGGACCGAGTGTCGAGGGGCCGAGGGCTGGTTCGTTGGCATTAGGTCGTTCCGAGCTCTGATGCCCATTCGTTCATGCTTGACGGATCAATATGTATATTCGTTGGTTGTGGCCTAATTATGGAAATGCGCTTGCTTTTTGGGTTGAACTCATTTGCATTTCCCACTGGTTACTGCTTTGCTGTCGAAACTTCTTCTAATCCGTATACCCAATATGCTCCGGAGGAGTCCGAAGAGAGCGGGCTTGCTGCGGGGGATGCCCGTGAAAATTACGAAATCAAGACGAGCCACAAAACGCTGCAAACGAAAGCCGGAGATGAAGATGAAGATGGAAAATCATCGGCTGATCGTCTCATAACCATCTGCTCTGCCACCCCTTCGATCTCTGCGGCCACAGAGCGATCGACCGGTCAAGCTGATATCTGTATAAAAGCCATCGACTGCAGGGAATTGGTCATCAGTTAACTCAACGCTTTCCTCGGCTTCGTGAAGTTCCTTAGTTTTCGTCCCCCCAAAGCAAGAAACTTCCAGCAATGAAGGTAAGGTCCCCCGTCCTCACCATCCAAGGAGCCCATGGACGGGTGTTCGAGTGATAGCAACACTAATATCTCGGCAATACCTCATCGCAACATGTTCCTCCTCTCCGTTTCGTCTCGCAGATCTTCGTGTGTTTCCTGGCTGCTTTGGTCGCCACCAGCTCGGCTGGCTTTATTGGAGGCGGCTCCGGCGGTGGCGGTGGTGGAGGCTACAGTTATGGCGTTGGCGGAGTGGGTGGCGGTGGTGGCCATCAGGAGGTGAAGACCATCAAGGTTATCCACCAGGAGGGCGGCGGCTACTCAGGCAGTGGACATGGCGGCGGCTACTCAGGCGGTGGACATGGCGGCGGCTACTCAGGCGGCGGCTATTCCGGCGGCGGCTATTCCGGCGGCCATCAGGAGGTGAAGACCGTCAAGGTCATACACCAAGAGAGCGGCGGACATGGACATGGCGCCGGCTACTCCGGTGGACATGGCGGCGGCTATTCCGGCGGACATCAGGAGATCAAGACCGTCAAAGTCATCCATGAGGAGGGCCATGACCTGGGCGGCGGTGGCGGATATGCCGGCGCACACGATCACGGCTACGGCGGACATGGACATGAGAAGGTGAAAACCATCAAGGTTATCCATCAGGACGGCGGCGCACATGGACACGGCGGTGGTTACTCCGACGGACACCAGGAGGTGAAGACTGTTAAGGTCATCCACCAGGAGGCGGGTGGTCACGGCGGTTTCTCCGGCGGGCATGGCGTTGGCTATTTCGGAGGACACGGTGGCGGCTACTCTGGTGGACACCATGAGATCAAGACTGTGAAGGTGATCCATGAAGAAGGCCACGTTCTCGGTGGCGGCGGTGGCTATTCCGGCGGACTAGACCACGGATATGGCGGACATGGACATGGACACGGACACGAGGAGGTAAAGACCATTCAGGTGATCCACGAAGAAGGCGGGCATAGCCACGATCATGGCCTCTCCCACGGAGGTTTTGTTGGCGGTCACGAGGAGATTAAGACCATCCAGGTGATCCACGAAGAAGGCCACTCACAAGGACACGGTGCGGCTCCTTTGAGCAACGAGTACCTACCACCTGTGTTGTCGGAACCCCAGCCCGGGTACCTGCCCCCATCCGGTAGCTGGAAATAAATCTCTCCCCCGAGCACTCGCTATGTGCTTCGGTCTGTGTCATAGTAAGTCCCGAGATTCCCCTTCCCTACTCCCTCCCGCAAAACTCTGTTAAGTAGCTTAAGACATTTTTTTCTTCACATTTGTTATTTTTTTACTGTTTTACGAATATCCATTGTACCTCTCACTTTAGTTGTAAACCGTTCCCATGAGGAAAAAATAAATCATCTGTAACTTATAATTATTCTGATTTCTGTTTCTGATACATCCATCTGACATCAGGAGAACAAGTGGTCTCCAATCAGGTAGTTATTCTCTTTTCGCGAAATGACTGTAAACGTTCTTCATCCACGGTTGAATTAGATTCACTCTTTATTCGACTTCCTTCATACGCTCGGCACTTTCGAATCGTTTCAGTTTCAGTTTTAGTTTCACTTTCAACTCCACCAATCGACCAAAATTACCATAATCAAAGCCAAATTAGCGGTAGCTCAACGACCAGTTCATAGATTGGTTTATCGCAGTGAATTTATGTATATGTGTATATTTTTGAATCTTAAAGGTTGTTGATGTATATTGTATCTGTCTGAATGCTCGTATGAGTTTTTGCTTTGGGTGTTTTAGTGTGTTATATCTATAAATGGAATAAATTAGGTTGTGTGCGCACTCTGTTTGCTTCATTTGGGGCTCGATCTAGATCCGAGCCTTACTTGTGGGGCCAATCGTGCCGTCTTCGCTTGGCCGTGTCTTGCTCGAGGCGATTCCCGCTGCTGCCGCTGCCGCTGCCGCTGCCGCTGCCTCGTAGGTACTGGTAAAGGGGCAAAGTTCGTGGCGAGGAAGGAGGTCTACTGGCTGTCATTGGTCGCCACTTGGATGGCAGCCAAGGCGAGTCATAGGGGGATGGATCCTCCAGCGGGGGATTGCCTGGAATGATTGCTTTATGACTGACAGGAAGATTGCCCTGGTCACTGAGCTGCTGCTGCTCGTTGTGGACCCTCAGATTGAGCAGCAGCTCGCCATCTTCGTCGATTAGATTGAACATATGTGTGCCGGGATGCTGTTGATTGCTTCCCATAGGATGGACCCGTTCCAGGCGCACTTGCTGTTGCTTCTTGGGCTTGGGTTGCGACTTGCCTTTAGGCCGGTGACCGATGAAGCGCGAGGCGCGAGCCATGCCCTGAAGCTGCCTAAGGATACCCAGCGGCAGCAGTAAATCTGATTCGAAAGGCATGAAACCGCTGGCCCTCACTTTAATGACGTTTCTCAGCAGCGGCTGTTGCGGGTGGCTGTAACCGTAGACACTGACCAGACCCAAAAGGCTCACGAGTCTCAATGCGTTGACAATTTGCATTTTCTTCTTCTTTTTCTTTTTATTATGGGTCAAGTCCTGCAGTCCACTATTTGGCACACTCACAAAAGTCACAGCACAAACAAAAAAACAAGAATCACCAATATGTGCTGAGGGATTCTGGCAGGGATTGTGGAGAGCCAGATGAGCTCGTTCTAGGCCCGTGTTGCACCAACTGACCAGCGACAAGCCGACTGACGAGGCAGCAAAGCCGAGCTGAGTCAGATAGAGTGGAGCACTGTGCACTGCGCTCGTAAAAACGAATTAATTAGAGAAAATACCGTTTTCCACACACTGCTGCACTGTGGGCCAAAATAGCTGAAAATCCGGTGGTAGCAAAGTTCCCACATTTGTAATTCATTTAAAATTTTACAAGTTTGAACGAGAAAATCATTTAAATATATGGTAAGATTTTCTTGCAGTCAAATAAATCAGATTCGATTTTAATTTTAACACTTTCAATCGGAAAATTCTTATGATTTATGTATATACATATGTACATACATACAGCCGCCTCCTTTCTTATATGTTACTCTTATTGGGGAATTTCCTTCCCATTCTTTTATAATTCTTTAATTTTAAGTTTTAGGCATTCCCGTTTCGACCCACTGTCCATTAACATGGCCAACACTTTGAATTGAAAATAAAAACATAACTGGCCGCGAGCTATGTTGTTTATTGTTTGGGGGGGCTTGTTGTTTGACGGCCAGCAGCTGAAAGAGTAGAGGCGACCAGAGTCGAATCTTCTGCCTATTTTTTTACCTCTAGTATTTCCCGCTGTACAACACATGGACGGAATTTTTAAAATGTCGTACTCGAATGAATGTATGTACATATGTATGTATATATGTATGTGTTGGCTTATAGTTGATTTATGGCACAGTTAACAAGAATTATTCTTCGAATGGCTGCTGGTGCTGCCTTCTGGCTGCCATCAAACTGGTTCACAAGCCATTAAAGTCGCCACTAAAACCCGACCCATCCACTCTCACTGCGGCCTGGAATAGTGGCCTAAGCAAGGCCCAACAGACACACAGGCCTGCGGCTCATTAGCATTGAAACAAAGACCGATGTCCGCCCCAACGTACATATGGCCTGTAAAAAGTAAAATCTCTATGTAAATTAGCGCTTGTGTAAAGGCGGGAGGGTTTTCAATTTTCACTGGAACCATGTTCTGCCAGTCTGCAGTATTGCGGAATACTCGTACTATATGCGTACGGTGGTCGAACGGTACTGTATGATGTCAGTGTAGGCATTTACTTCTTACTTCTTCTTTAGTTACGCCTTCTTCAGCCATAGTTTGTTTTTATATATTCTCAGAGTAAGCGATAGTCTCGACAATAAGTATTAGACGGAAATAATCAATTTGTCGAGCATCGATTCTGAGGCAAGCTCACATCCAAATTTCGTACAATATCATTCAACAAGCACTGCCTAATAAAATTATACTTTCCCTTAGAGAATGAATCAATACTGCACAGTATTTTTGAGACTTAAGCTGCACCGAAGCACATCTCTAACGGTAGTTAGAAACAATTTTTTGTATTTTAGCTTTTTATTTTCGGTGTGTCACTATAATTAGGAAAAAATTCATATTGCCAAAAAAAAATGTCCCATATGTGTATGTATATAGTATGCGTCTGTGGGTGAACGCGTCTATGATAGAGATAAGGATCACTATAATTAGGAAAAAAATTAACATTGCCAAAAAAAAAAATGTCCCATATGTGTATGTATAATATAGTATGCGTTTGTGGGTGAACGCGTCTATGATAGAGATAAGGATATCTGTACAATTAGAGTAAAGTTTATAGACTTAGATATAGGTACATGTATGGATAATTGACTAGAATTATACTCGAGAGAGCTACGTCGCATCGGCAGCGCCCATTTCTCATATTCGGGTTAACCTAACATTTATACCCTCTTGAAAACTATTCTCGATCATCGAGATGTTTCATCTTCGTGGCTCGGCTCCGCTTCCCATCGTTATGGATGGCTTCAATATTGTTTCATATCGAATATTTACATATACAAATACTGTTTCTCTAAAGAATTAGTTAAGATATTCTTTTAGGATGAGGCTAGATCTAGTCCAGGGTGATGTGGGGATTCGTGTAGGTGAACCCATGGAACTGTTTCTGATCCATGGAGGCCAATATCTCCTTGTCGATGGGTGTGAGCCGAACCCGTTCTCTAGTAAATACCCGATCAAAGTATTGAGTATCTAGGGGATGTTTCTGCGAGAATAAAGAGATTACCAAAAGTATAAGTACATTATATTTTACTTTTACGAGTGTATATTGCTGCGAATCACTTACCACTTGGGGCTTGAAGGGAGGCTCGATTTGCCGCCTCTCAAGTAGATTCCAGTCGATGGGCCTGAAGAATATGTGTTCGGCTATATCACCAGCTGGACTGTACTGTGAACCAATCCTTTTCGCATAATCCTTCTCCAGCAACTGCAAAAAAACACCAACGAAATTAGACTGGATATATACTATCAGAAGATTTCGTGCTTACCCCCTTGAGTATGCCCGTGGCCTCAGCGGATATGTAGACAGGAAACCATGGAATTTCATTGCATATGGACCAGAAGAGTTCATCCTCGTCGCAGCCACTGAACGGCGATTGACCTATCAGCATTTCATAGAGCAGCACACCAAACGACCACCAATCCACATTCTGATTGTACTTTTCACCCTGCACGCAAAACAATCAATACATTTTTACGAAAAATCTATCAAATACAAGGTATGGGTCTTATTTCACCTTAATGATTTCGGGTGCCATATAATCGGGTGTGCCGCAAAAACTGTCGGCCGTCTTGTCTAAGTAGATCTGCAATTTGCACATGCCGAAATCGGCAATGCGCACATGACCTTCGTAGTCCAGCAGAACGTTATCCAATTTGAGATCCCTAAATTATACGTAATTAGACAATAAAGAGCAATAACCCATTTTCGGTACAAAATGTGATGCTAACCTGTAGATAATGCCCTTTTTGTGTAGGAATTTGAGGCCAGAGATTATTTCAGCTCCATAGAATCGGGCTCGCTCCTCGGAGAAGCGTCCACTCTCCTGTATATGGAACATGAGATCACCGCCATTCAGATACTCCATCACAAAGAACAAGTGGCTCTAAAAGCATGATGAGAGGTAAAGACAAAGTTCGAGATAAAGAGAGATTGTTCGCACTGACCCCCAATCGATTGTATCCTCAAAGTCATAAATAATTAAAATACCTTCTAATCGGTGTCAATGCAAGAGACGCCGATGCAAAATGCAAGATGCAGAATCAAATGAAGATGTAGAATAGAAACAGAAATTTATTGAACGCACAGCTGGGACGGACAGGCACCCTGATCTACATGGTGAGCTGACTGACTCTGTCATGTCCGACCGACGTCGTGTGCCCCAATCGATGGTCACAAACAGAGGCAGTAATTATAGAACGTTTTACCTTTTCTCTGGCTAATTATAGACGGCAAAACTAATCGATCAATTTGTATTTCTATTTATCGGTTATGTGTTTACCTATGAGCGCACTGGGCGATGGTGACCCCGATGGGTCGTATCTCCGATCGAATGGAGCAAATAGTTGATCCGAGCACGGATGCTTAATAGAACACTAACAAAACGAATAGCTTATGTATGTACATATGTAACATAACATACACGTCGCAAAACTTTTTCCATCGATTATCACAATCTGGATTCGAGCAGGAAGCGGATGACCCCGACCAAGAAGTACTTACCTCCGTTTGAAAGGTGCAAAACAGATGGCACAGATACGGGTGCTTGGTGCCCAGTGCCAATACTTTGCGCTCAATCAGCGTCGAGTCCACATCGTCATCCTCCAGGACGACATCCTTTTTCAGGCATTTGATGGCGTAGTAGTATGTGGTATCACGCAGCTCAGCCAGTAGAACCTATTCCAATCAATGGAAAACGGATGAATGTATAGAATAAAATTCGTAGATAAACACATTTTAAAGTGCGTTACTTACCTTGCCGAAACTTCCCTTGCCGAGAACGGCGAGAAAGTGAAAATCATCTACCGAATAATTCTTAAACCTAGGTATTACTGTTGCTGGCGCAGTGAAACGTCCGGATTTTTGGAATTGTGAATATGTATATGATGTTTCTGTGCAACAACAGCGAATATAGAAAAGAGTAGAGCAGCATCGAAGTAAAAGTAAGTTAAAGTCATTTGAAGATACAAATTAGTACAGAAAGTTTAGCATATGTGGTGCTTGGGAGTTTTTTCTGGTGGTCATTTGAGTGGATCTTATCTATTTATCTACTGTACCGATGGTATTTATTGTGTCTGTGAGATAATTAAGATACTAAAAGGATCACCATACCATCGTGTTCATCACCGGCCTCGATCTTATAGGCTGGATTCAGGCTGGGCGGTGTGCTGGGCGAGTCGCGGGCTTCCCGGGCGCCTAATTAATCGAGAGTGTACTTTTAGGACTTTAATCTGTTTGTTTTGTGTATAATATTGATTAATATTGCCCACCGTTTCGGTGAAAATGTGTGAATAAGACCATATCATTCAATATACTTTGATTTTGCAAATTTTTTTATTTTCCTTTTCCTTCCTTTCATGTATGTATGCCTTTCTTACTTTTGCGAGGAACTCTTCATTGGACTTTCGCTAGTAGTTTATTTTTTTTCCGCACCTATGTATACCTAAACGTACCTACAACACTTTTGTCTTTTATCTTATCTGAGAAATCTATATATTTAAATAATGTTCGTATAGTGGATGAGAGGATCTTAGTTTCACACATATCCACAGCTCTACTCTCTTGGGGAAAAATCAATGCCAGAAAATGGTTGAAAAAATATATTTTATTATAATTTTTTGGTTATTTGATGTCCTTCAGGGTTCTGTGGTTTGCTGAGGTGATTTTACCGTAGTTTACCTCGCTTCACGTAGGTGAGCGCCTCTACGATGAGTTTCTGATTGACGCCGCATAAATTGGCCGTGAGCCGTTCGCATTTCTTGTGGCAATTCACGTCACATTCTGGTTCGTGTGCGTTTCGGATTCGCATTCGGGTTGGGGATTGGATATAGTATAGGCACGCATCGCATCGGATAGTATTGGGTCGGAGGAGAGAATGTTGGGAATTAATTGCATACAAATGGATATTAAATT